TTAAAAGGGTCAAAACCCTTAAGGCATTCCCGATTAATTTTTATTCGCGCGCATTTATTTTCTTTTGATTATTATGTAATTGCTTCCAAGAATGTAATAGTAATTAGGTTTACCGCTTTATTTAATTTCTCGTACTTATTTACCAAAACGGGTCTTTGTATTTTTGGCGATGTATAGACCCGCGCCTTGTAATAACGTAGAATTTATCTTTCCGCAATTTATTTTCCGCACTCCTAACTGTTAACAATGCATGAAAGAATGTATGTAAATAAAAACAACCCGTAGCTCACAAAATAACAAGACAAACATTAACTGAAAAGCAACACACAAAGCACATGCCACTCCTAGGGTACGCTTCACTCGTTGCCTCGAAACGTGGTCATCAAGTATAGGACGTCTTAGAGGTCACCCTTTGTCTCAAGATCCAGTTGCCTCGAAACGGTTGCCTCGGATAAAAGGATCTAGGACATTAGGGTTACTTCTAAGGTGTCCTACCGTTGCTTCGGTGACCACACTGTCCCGATAATCGAATTGACCCGAACACCTCCAACGACGGTGCTACCTACCCCTCAATGGTGGGATAGCACTATATAAAGGACTCTTACACAGCCTAATTCCTTAGAGTAGGTAGATTCTCTTAAGTACTTGCTCTTTTCAAAACAAACAAAATACTTTTCACACCTCACACTTTCTAAAAGTTTTCAAACAAAATTTTTCATACACTCTTGAGGACTGATACAAGAGTTACTTAGAAATCTTTCAAACGAAACTTTTTCAAAACCCACACACACTTGAAAAGCAAATAAAATTTTGAAAACATAAGAGCAAGTACCTAAGAGCCTGTGGATAACCACGGATAGAAAGGGTGCTAACACCTTCCCTTTCTATAAATCTACCTCCCGAACCGAGAAACATTCTCCTAAGGAATTTTGTTGTGCTTTTGTCCTTTCCATGTTGGAGAACATAAAAGACGGTGGCGACTCTTGCTTACCGCGACATTTCGTGAAACCAGCTAAAAAACAGTCAGTTCTATTTCCACCGATCACAGTTAGCATTTTTCTAAATTAAATTAAATTAATTAATAATTATTTAAACCATTTTCTTTAATTTAAAAATCATTAGACTTGGGATTTAATCAATTTTGATTCTATTCATAAATAATAAAAATGTCAAAAATATTAATTTGTATAGAATTAATTTTTAGTTAATAATTTTATTTCCTTTTTTATTTTAATTAAGTAATTAGACTTAATTTAGTTCAATATTTTCCAAATAAACAAAATGATAAAAAGGTTTTCTTTTGACTTAGAAGTACATTAGGGTTTTAGACGTTATTTACAATTCGCGCCTGTTTGTTGTTTTATCACCTTTTCTTATTATTATATCTGTCTACTGGATGTAATAGCTATAGCTAGGATTTTATTTTTCTGCTTTATTCTCCCAAGTTTTCGATATGTAATCAACCCCCCTCCCCGAAGCTTTGTAATAACTAGGTTTACATTTCTGCACTTTTAATTTTTGTAAATTATTAACTGTTAGATACATGCTAACTAGGATTGTATGGCAAGAATAAAACAAAACGCTAGCAAACCTAACACAAGACAAACAACTGAATACAAACACAATTTCACATGTGCACCTCTAGGGTATCCCACTTTGGTTGCCTTCTGAAAAATAGTCATATCTCTCAAAATGTGAGAGATTTTAGTGGCTACCCTCCAGTTTAAAGATCATAAGTCCCTTGATGGCCCTCTCGACGCTGCCTCGGTATGATCTTAAAACCCTAGGGTACTTACTAAAGTTTCTTGCCTAGTTGCCTTTGTGACTGTATAAATATCCCTTCGAATGTCCCTCAAACATCCAATGACTAGGGCTACCTACTGTCTAAAGGAAAAGAGGAAAATAACAACATTTCGAGTAAAGTAGATAGCTGTTAGATGCTTGCTCAAATAATTTTTACACTTACACAAAAATTCTTTCAAAAACATTTTCAAACACTTTATATACGTTCTCTACCATTCCGAGAAACATTACAAAGTTCGCCGCACTAAGGTGCTTTCAAAAATACTTTTCAAAATATACAAAGCACAAGGTATTTGAAAATGAGCTAAGCATCTAAGAGCCCGTAGATAACTACAGATGAAAGGATGCTAACACCTTCCCTTTCCATAATCTACCCCCCTTACTCAGAAATAATCTCGAAATGTCTTTTGTTGTTCTTTTCACCATTTCCTTTGTTGGATAAAAGAAAAGTCGATGGAGACTCTTACTTACCGCAACATTTGGGAAATACAAACGCAAAATCAGTATAACAGTCGGTTCTGCCATCGTATTAGAGTATCAAATGATGCATCAGAAATATCCTCATAGTGAAGAGCTCTATTGACAGCAATTTGAACGGTGTTCCTGACATTCTTATTTAAAGGAAACTCCCCTTGGTTAAGATTAACACCTAATGGATTAACATGATCAACAATGGTAGCAGCGAGCCTCTGAGCAACGTGTCTTAACTCTTCTTTCCCATGGGAGGGATTATGAAAAACCTCCACGAATTGGTCCAATTGGGTCTCCATACGTGTACTCATCTCAGCCACATATGTTTGAAGTTGATCCATGACGATGATATCGAGAAATCATCTTGGTGGTCTTGAGATTCAAAATAAAAAACTAGGTTGCAATGAGTCTCTTGGATGAAATGAATGGGATGCCAGATGATGCATGGATTATAAGAGAAATAAACTCCTATAAAGATTGATGCAAATGGAATGCAACACCACATGTTCAAAAGTTCAGCATAACAACTGATAACATATGTACAATCAGATAACATTTGTACAATTCTTTGGATAACTGCTATATAGTCTTTGAATAGGCTGAATATATCAGGATCAAAGGTCCGGAACCATCTCGAAACACAAGAGAACCAAGTACCAAATAAGTCACCAACAATACCTGTAAGATCATCCCCCCCCCCCCCCACTCACGGGTGAAGTCTAGGTTAGGGTAAGGTCAAAAGATCAAATCATATTCGTAGATCCTCGTGAAAGTACTACCATTGTAACACATTCGTGATAACGATAATACCCCATTTGAACCTCGTCTGAGCATGGCTCTCATGATCGACTTGGTAGAGAATTCTCCTACTAGCCGTCATGACTCTCCACTCTATTCCTATGTGTTCCTAGATGTTTACAACTTTGGCCTGTGTATTGGGCCTTTTACCTCATGTAACAACCCGTCCACCAAGAAAAATATAGACAGTCCAACATATCCAGTATATAAGAACAATGAAAATAAAATGCAATACAAACATATATACAGATACACACATATACAAATAAGCACATATACAGATGATCAATCTATAATGGTAAAAAGAAATTAACACCCAAAGACTCAACAAATAAGAGCTAGGACTGACTCACTTAGGTATCCCTAGTGAAGTCGCCAGTTGAAGCAATTAGAGAAAATCTCAAATGATAAAGTCACCATCGAATATTTATTTATCCCACAGAAGGGAAATGAAAACATCAAAGAAAATCTGAGAAGGGAGAAATCAAGGTCTCGCGACCAAGAGAACGGGTACAGAAGTCAATTACACAAGGATAAGGTATTATCACCCCTCACGTTCATGGTACTCCATGGGATCCACTCTTGGCGTTCTAATCAAAGGGTGTGTCAAACTAAAGCGAACAAGATAAAGGGAATGCATCAATGCAAAGTATATACAAAAATAAAAGTTTTTATTAGTTTTGCGTACCACAGTTGCGAACCTTTGTGCCTACGTACCACCTTTCATGCAATAGGGGATCATGGCACTCATAGTTCACCTAAAATAGTGTTTTGGTTTGTTTTGTGTTTTTAAGCGGATAATGTTACATTTGTACTCTAACAGTTGACATATTGCAACCCGGCCTTTGGAGAATCACGCGTCGTATTACGCAGAGTGGAAATAACACATCCTTTTTATGAAAAAAATTATGAAGAAAAGCCCGAAGGCACCCCTAAGGCAAAAGGGATTTGATTGGTTTGTATTTTTTACCATGAAAAAAGATTTAGTGATTTGAACCATATTAAAGACTATGATCGCAAAGGAAACACAAGGTTCGAGAATGGACCCTCTCATGCTCCTCCCAATTGCTTAAGACTCGTGACACATGGTTCGTATCATTATTCTTAAGTATTTTGAGATTTTTGAGAAGAAAAGAAGTTTTAGTTTTAAAGATGCAAAAGGGGAATGAAAAATTCTAAGGGAGACTAGAGTCATAATGTTATCATACAATTAAAAGGAAAACTATATCCTAAAAGTTATCATGCTTGGGTTAAATCCTAAAGTTTAATTAATTCAATTTAATCAAAAGATTAAAATCGAACTGAATAATACTAAGGGAACATGGTAATCACACAAGCAAACAATCAACAATAAAAGAAATCTATTATAATATTTTTTCATTTTTACTATATAAAGAAATGTGAAAACAACCAAAGCAATTAAAAATAATAAAAATAAATTTGAGAAGCCCAGGAGGTGTAAGCAACAAGCAGGGAATATGTTGATCCAGAAATATCTAAGCCCAATTCATAAATGGCCCACAAGAAGTTTTATTGTCCAAGACTTTCAAACTATTCAAAAACAAAACTATGGGTGCCACAATGAAGCAAAACCCAATGGATCTGAATCCATAAGGAGTGATTTTGTTCAAGCTGCAGTCTCCAAAAACATTAGCATCGGGCCAAGAAGGGAGTGTTTGGTTTGGACCAGATTAGAGTTTTTCTTTTCAGTTTTAATAGTGCCTAAAACGGTGGTGACGGGCCTGAGCGGAGAGTGCACAACGGAACAACTCAAAGCCCAACATAAATTCTTCACACTTGGTCTAAATAACCATTACCAGTAGATTTTTATTACTGATGAAATTTTTGTACAACAAAACAAAATACAAAATAAAAAATAAGAATTAGGGTGAAATTAGGGTTCACGTTGTGGCTTTTCAGCTTATCTCATGCAAATGAAATCTTATTCACTTCTCAAAACACAGTGGCCATCATCTTCTTCCTTCAACCTTCCCAAACATCTCCTCCTCAATCTCTTTTTCTCTCCTCTGTTTCAAACGCGTCACTCTGTGACTCACCTGCGCGGATCCAAACCTCACCGCCGTCAACTTTGGCTCAACGTCGCTTCTGCTCGTCATCATTCAATTCAGAGGCCACAACGACTCAACCTTCTGTTCGCAGTTCTCTCTCCATCGATTCATTATAATCTTCCGCGCTTTCCTATTCACCTATTTCAAAGCCATCTTCGTTCGTCTCAATTTTTTCGATTCTCTAACTAATCGAATTCCTCAAGTACAAACCAAACGGATGCCTAATGTTTGAGTGAATCTGAGATCTTGCTACGAATTTAGGACTCAATGGTAGCTATAATATACTATAGTATTGGAGAAAGATGAAAACGAAACACAAATATGATAACATAACTTACCTGCAAAGCTCATGAAGGTGCACTAAATGAAATCTTGAGTGGAGGTTCCACATGTACGAAATTATCCCCGCTTTCTTTTTCTTCTTATGATCTGCTACACGTATTGTCGTGTTGTTGTTGTTGCGCGATATGAAGTATGTGAACTCGATGCTGAAGTGATGATGTTGCTCTTTACTATATGAAGCAAGTTGCTACATATGTGATGTTGATCGAAGCAGCAAAAACCAGATTTATGAAAATTCATGTTGAAGCAGCGATGTAAACGGTCGAAAAACGGTGAAGTGCAATAGATGCAGAAGAACTATTATTTAAGTTTTGGTGAAGTTTTTTCTGAGAGCTTCTTCTGAAAAGTTTCTATCGTGAAACTTTTCTCTCAATTTTGTGAGCTTCTTCTGAGTGAAATTTTCTTCGAGAATTTGTTGTGTTAATCTCGGCGTGTACTCTGTGTGTGTGATATGAGAGGAATCGATGGTTTCTTATATAGGAAGAGTGGAGTGGGGATAGAATAGGAATTGGGTTGAGGGAATGGATAAGATCAATCCCTGATTTTGTGGGATCTGGGTGAGAAATCATGAGCTATTTTCTGATATTTTTTGTATTGATAATTTCACATGGTTTATACCTTTTTCTTTTCCGATTTTTCTGTTATGGATAAGCTGGAAATTAGCTTGTGTTACTTGCTGAGCTAGAAATTAGTTTTCTGCTTTGATAATTCCCTCTCAATTTTCTGTCCACGATTTACTTATTCAATCTTTTGGTATTTACAGATCAACAGGGCATTTTGGTTAGTGGGTGAAAATTGGTCTTAATGCAGGGTTGTGTTTGGCAAGGCAGTTTTGGACATGTTTTGGATCAAAAATTCATGTTGAACTGCATTAGAGGTTTTGATTGGTGTAAATGCAAGTTTGCATAGTAGGCGTACATAAAGTAATCTTTTGTGAGTCATGGTTATTTCAAGGTTTGGGTATCAAGAAAATTGAAGACAAAGGCTAGATTTTAAGTTTCGATGTAAATGCTTCTTTGTAATGTTCTTGAAAATTTAATGGTAAAGTCCAAATGTTCAAAGAAACTTCCCTTTCCATTTAGAATTTGAACTTCCCATCTTTTCTTGATTTTGCATCCATGTAATTCTTAGTGTTAAGACTTTTCAAATTGTCTCATGAGTGAATATAATGCTATGCTTATTTCCTTTTCTTCGGCCAATGGAATGCATCACCATGTCCAAATGACTTGGATGAAATGCTTTGAATAACATGAAAAATAATATGAATCAACCTTAGAAACTTGAATGAATATTGAATTATGTCTTTTCATGATATAACTTGTCCCGTGAATTCAATATGAACTATGAATTGATTCCTCGCATTTAAAATGTCAATGAAAAATTCGAAATGTCTTGAACTCCTAAATTCATATCACAATCCAAACTAACTTGCCATTTCAGTTCTAAATAATCCAATTACAACTTATTTTCTTGCAAGCTTTAAACACTTTGATTCGTTTGAATACCTTTGGAAAACTTGAATGAATATTGTTCTGGACTGGGCCCGCCCTGGTCCAAAAGCAAGAACGAAGGCCCAATCCAAGCAACTCATCGAGGAGCGCGCGCCCGAGGATTCCCGCCAGCGCGCCCGACCAGAATGGCAGCCGTGCCCGCCGTTGCCCGCGAACATGGTGTCCTCGACCACGGGGAATTCCAGCTCGAGCCCAGCTCGAGCACCGTCCTCGTAGGACAGACTCTGACCGTTACCAAGTCACCTGAACTCCGGAAAGACCGCGTCTTCGTCCCTCCTCATTTCTCGCAGAGCATCACCAGGAAGGAGACCACGTGCGGGTCCCCACTACACACGTAGAACCTGACAGTTCCTTTATTGGGCCAGTTCTGGTCAGCCCAATGAAGGGACCTTGACCTCGCGCTGGGGGCTATAAATACCCTCTGTTCCTAGAGGGTTAGGTATTGATTCTCTTACCCATACATGAACTTTTTTGCCTGCTCGTACCATCACTCACTTTAGCATCGGAGTGCCTTGCAAGTACCCCCCCCCCCCTCATCTCACTCAACTTCCGCTCGGAGTCAGTCGTGACGGTCCAAGTCTGATCCGGTAAGATCAGTGGCACCGTCTGTGGGAAACTAGCTTCTCCGTCTTGCAAAACCTCAAAGACCAAAGCTCAATATCACTTCCTACGGTCATGGCTGACCAAGTTCGGGATGACCAAAAAATTTGCGTCGTCGACATCAACAACGGCCTCGCAGATAAAAATGGACTCCCCGACAACACCGGTAACCCCGATCATAACACATTCCCCAGGGGATCCAACCCCGGGCCCTCAGTCCACCGCGACGAAGTTACTGCATCATCCTCTTCAGTCCCTCCGTCGCTCGAAGAAGACAACGCAGCTCCCACAAGCCATCGAGCTACCCAATTTCAAGAAGTCCCTGTCCCCGCCGGGGCAGATGCCACAACCCGCGCACTATTTGCGGCGATCAACCAGACGAATTACCTCATCTTCGCCCAGGGGAAAAGATTGAGGGCACTAGAAGACGATCGAAGGCCCGCAAGGAGACACAGGAGGCCCCAGACTCCACCTCCTCGAGTGACAGAGGTACATCTCTCGTCTCCCCCCGCGGAGACACTACAGAGACACCTCCCGAAGCCTGTCAACCCGACCCTCAGGGAGACGACCCCCTTTGGAGAGGCAACCCGTCATTGAAGTTGGGGGACGCGGCCACGCCCCCGTACGGAGAGAAAGAAGACACTCTGGAGACGGGCACAAAAGAATCATCCAACGATCACCACGCTCGAGGGATGCCCAGCACGACCAGGACCGTCGGGCTCGACAATATTACAGGTCCCCATCCCTGTCCCCGGAGCGAAGTGACGAGGACGACCCTCGCGGTCCCCTGTCACAAGCCATCATGGAGGCGCTCATTTCCCCGGGCATGGAGAAGCCTTCACATCTGAAGGAATACGACAGAGTCGCGGACCCAGTCGATCACATAGACGGGTTCGAGGCTATGCTGCACTACCACAACGTCGGGGGACCCATCAAATGTCGGCTATTCCCCACGACCCTCAGAAAGGCAGCAATGGATTGGTATAAAGGTCTCGCTTCGGGATCAATTACCTCGTGGCGAAACCTGAAGAACCAATTCATAAGTTCGTTCACTGCGTCTCGGCGACACTCAAAGACCGAGGCGGCTCTCGAGGCCATCATCCAGAGACAGGATGAAACCTTGAGAGAGTTTATTAATCGCTTCAATCGCGAGGCCATACAGGTCCCATGCGCGGACCACATGAAAAGGTATTTGCTGGAGAGGGGGCTTCTCCCCGGCACAGAATTCAGAAAGGCAGTAGGCATCGAGCCACCCCGGACATTCGATGCCCTCCTCGAAAAAGCCCGGGCATATATGGATTACGAGGAGAGGGAGGCGGCCAACAGAGCCCGGGACCCCAGAACTCGCAGATCCAGTAGCAACCCGCGCCAGGAAGCCGCTTCTCCTCGACGAACCGGGGAGAAGAGAAAAGAGGAGAGACCCCGAGAAGTCCGAGAGCAAAGAGGACCCTCGGGGAGTTTTACCGAATACACTCCACTCACAGCTTCCCGCAAGCGCATTTTGGCGGAGTGTGCCAGCACGGATTTTAAGGACATCGGCGTCAAGCGTCCCCGACCTGCCCCCACCAAGCCCGAAGTAGACAAAAGCAAGTACTGTAAGTACCATAGGAGCCATGGTCATCTGACTGAAGACTGCGTCCACCTCAAGGACGCCATCGAAACCCTCATCAAAGGAGGGAGGCTCGCCCAATACCGGCGAAATGACGCTCCCCGTCGTGACGCCAGGGAGACAAGAGAACCGGAGGAAGACGCCCGACCATCTGACGAGTCGGTCCCCGTCTAGACCGCCTTCTCCGTCACCAGACCGGAGGACTTCTACGTCCCCGAACACCTGCAGGAGCCGCTCACGACACACAGCAGGTGGGAATACTTTCCCTCCGCCATGGTCATCAACGGAGGAGGATTCAACGACCTAACCATCAATTCGGCCAAAAGAAAGCTGGATGAACTGGTCGACGTGGCACCTCCGTAAACAGTGACCTTTGAAAGGGTAAAAGGTAGGTCGGAGTCCATCACCTTTTACCTCGAAGAGCTCCCTGGAGAAGCCCCCAACGCAGTCATTCCCCTACTAATAAGAGCAAGAATGGCTAACTTTGATGTGCACCGCATCCTCGTCAACGAAGGAAGTTCCGTCGACGTGATGTACAATCAGTTATTCCGGACACTGCAGCTAGACGACTCGCACCTCTCGCCATATGTATGGTCGGACTTACAGGGCTTCAACGGCTCGACCTCCAAGCCTTGGGGGTATGTCGAGCTCAAGGTTACCTTCGGCGAGGGCACGACGATGAGGCAAGTTAAAGTACGCTTCCTCGTCATCGACTGCCCGTCCCTCTACAACTATATCCTGGGGAGACCAACACTGGCAGAGATGACCGCGGTACCCTCCACCGTCCATTTGAAGATGAAGTTCTACACCAAGAGGGCACTGGTAGCTACCATCCAGGGGGACCTAGCCGCTGCTCGAAGGTGTTTTAACGCCGCATCTAAAGGACGCGACACTGTCGAAACCGGGACAAGGCCCGCCAAGAGACCGACGATGACGCAACAGGAGCCCGACAAGCCAGAGCCCGCCAAAGAGGAAGACCAGAGAGATCCACCGAAGGTCGACTCCATAGCTCTGGATGCCCGGTTTGATCAGGATGAACCTTCCAACGGCGAGCAAATCCCCCTCCGACCAATCCCGGACGGGGACTTTGAGCTCGTCCCCCTCGGTGCAGACGCAAGCAAAGGAGTGGAGATTGGCATCGACCTCCCCGACCTGGCAAGGAAGCAAATAAAAGCTTGCTTGCGCGAAAATACTGACCTGTTCGCCTGGAGCGCCGCGGAGATGCCCGGACTCGACCCTGAGGTCGCCTGCCACCGTCTTGCCATAGATCCTACCGCTAAGGTCCTAGTACAACGTAGGCGTAGGCAGTCTCCGGAGAAAACGGAGGCTGCTGGAAAAGCTGTAAAAGACCTCCTAGAGACGAATTTTATTTCTGAAGCCCGGTATTCAACTTGGCTGTCAAATGTTGTACTAGTTAAAAAGAATAATGGAAATGGAGGATGTGTGTTGACTATACCGATCTCAACCGGGCATGCCCGAAGGATGCCTTCCCTTTACCAAACATAGATATGTTGGTCGACAACTCGGCCGACTACAAAACATTGTCGTTCATGGATGCCTATTCAGGCTATAACCAAATCCTAATGGCCATGGGCGACAAGCATTGCACTGCCTTCATGACCAGCTCGGGCAATTATTACTATAACGTAATGCCCTTCGGACTAAAAAATGAAGGGGCAACTTACCAACGAATGATGAACATGGTGTTCCAGAAGCAGATCGGAGACATGCTCGAGGTCTACATGGAAGACATGATCGTCAAATCCCGAGCAGACACCGATCATGCAGCACACCTCAAGGCATTCTTCGCCCAAGAAAGACAATGTAAGATAAGATTCAACCCCGAAAAATGCACGTTCAGAGTCAAGGCGGGGAAATTCCTCGAGTTCTACCTGACAGAACGAGGAATTGAAGCCAATCCCGATAAATGTCGAGCATTCTCCGACCTCCCAACACCGACGTCGAAGAAATTAATACAAGTCATGAACGGCATGCTCACTTCACTGTCCCGCTTCGTCGCAAGATCCGCTCAGCACGCCCTCCCCTTCTTCAGACTCCTTCGCAA